AAGTTGGAAGGACCGTAGTCGGCGGGCAACAGAGGTCAAAAAGACTGTAGTCGGCGGGTGACGTAAGTCAGGAGGATCGTAATCAGCGGGCGACGGAGGTTGGAAAGGCTATAGTCTGACGACGAAGGTTAGAAGAACGGCGTCGGGTAAAAGTCCAACAATGGAAAGGAATTCATCTTTGGATATATGTCCAACGAAAGTCCGATAACTGGTAGAAGTCTGGTGTCGGGTAGAAACTTGGTGAAGAGTGAAGGTCCGGCGTCGAGTAGAAGTCTGACGTTTGTTGGTGGCCGAAGAGAACTCCGACATTACTTAGGCAGAGTTTTGGCGTCATGAGGGAACTCTGTCTTGGGAAGAATTTCAGCATCACGTGGAAGTTGGGTAGAATTCTGGCATCCCGTGGAAATCGGGAAGAATTCCGGCGTCATTTGGAGTTCGGGCGGAACTTCGGCGGTGGTTGAGGAGGAGTCTCTTCACTTCTAATGCCTCCTTATTTCTTCCTATTATAGCCGCATGAACTCTACCCCGCTCCCCTCCCCCCCCCCCCCCCCCCCCCTCTCAATGAAGAATGAGGGGTCTATATAGATTTCTGGAGTGGCATGACCGATAAATAGGTACGAGATCATGGGCGGATCGGGAGTGGTTTGAATGGACAGCCGATATTGAATCCCTTGATCATGGACCGTTCATCAGACATTTGAAGGTCTTAATGATGTCAAAATTCAGCGATCTTGAGCTCGTTGGATTTGTCTCGTCGAGCCGTTCGATTTGACTATAAGCTCGTTAAAATCGGTGACCGTTTGGTAACTCAATTTGTGGTTCGAACCTTCCAACAGCACTTTGGGTCCTTGATTTGGACTCATTTGGGCCCGGATTGAGTCAAATTTGGTGTCGTTGGGTTCGTATTTTCGAGACTCTCAGTTTGATTGTAAGTTTACTGAAATCGGAGTTCGGATGCTCCCGGATTTAATTTTTAAGGTTTCAACTTGATTTTGCCTCGAGATTCATGCCGATCAATATAATTTTATGATGACGTATCAATAACTAAAAAGATAATAATTAATTATGAGAAATTTTAGATTGGTCCTAATTAAGTAGAAGAAGTGAAGTATGAGAGCTTCTTGATCTTATAAATCATTGTGATTTAAAGATTTGATAATATCAAAATTTATTTAGCATCATCTAATGATTTATTAAGTATATTTTTTAATATAATGAGTAGTAACAATTGTGGTGATGATGTTCTATTTCATTGGACTAATTTCGGTCCACTTTCAACTTGGAAATACATTCAAATGGATAAAGTATACAAAGATAAAATTTGAAGATCCAAAATTTAGTAGTCAAGCAAGTGTGTTTAGAGAATTTTAAATAAAATTTAAGTGAATAAGGTTAACCCCTATAATTCTAAGGCTACTATTATATTAATTCCTAAAAGCACTCATGCCATCAACATAAATGACTATTGGCCCATTTCTCTATACAATCCCTACTATATAATCATTGCTAAAATCATGCCTCTTGACTCAAGCTTGTTATGCCTTTTATCATTCATGCTAGTCAAGTTGGGTTTATTCATAACAAAATTTTAACTGATGATATTATTTTGGCTAAGGAATTGCTTAGTGAATTCAGGTGTAGGAAAAAGAAGGCTTTCTTTTGTGCTAAGTTGGATATTTTCAGAGCTTTTGATACTGTTTCTAGGGATTATCGGAGTTAGAGAATACAAAAAAAAGGTTTTCCTTCATCATTTATTTTTTGGGTTAAAACATGCATAAATAATGTGCATTTATCTATGTATATTAATGAAAATCTTAAGGACTTCTGCAGTTGTTCTTCTGGACTTAGGTAAGGATGTCCACCATCCCTTTACCTATTCTACTAGATTTTTATTATGGATGGACTCTCAGACCTCTTTGACTCTACCTCCTCCCCTCATGCCTTCACTAGCATTCAAATGGGCAACTTCCATATTTCCCACTTTAGGTATGCTAACAATTTACTTATTTTTTGGAAGAGAAACTATCATAATATAATGAACCTAAAAGATATCTTAACCTATTTCAAAGACTTGAGTGGTATTTCCACTTACACATGTAAAAGAACTATCATCTTCTCTTAAAACTCGCAAGACCGTCAATTATTCTCTAATATGCTTCATATTTAAAACACTTGTGTAGAACTCTTACCTACCTAGGCTAACATGTTTCCACTAACAGGATCCATATCACTAGTTTTAACCCTCTCATGAGCAAACATGAAATGTTATTAGATGGATGGAAAGCCGAATCCCTGTCATTTGAAGGTTGCAATTCTTAAAATTCATAATCTTAAAGACCACTGCATATTGGATTCAAGGAACCATTATTACTAAAAGTTGCTACAAACTCATTTCCAAAACCTATTCAAGATTCCTATATAATGGTAATATTTATGCCAAAAAACTTTATTTAGTCTTAGGCTAACATGTGCAAGCCTAAGAAGCTCGGTAGCATTGGACTACATTCCATCCCTACACTTGTATTTGCATTTTTCTGCTCTCTCATCTACTGTTGTATTCATTCCAATAGTTTGCATGATGAAGGGTGATTTATGGGCATTTCTGGGATCCGAAAGTTTCTAAAGGGTTTGCTTCTTGGGTTAATATTACAAAAGTTGCTTATGCAATGAGACCTAACATTACCTATAAAGTGCATGATAGTGGTAAGATCTGTTTGCTTTGAGATCCCTAATGTACTGGGAAAGGCTTAAGCTAAAATCTACTTTGAGTATTCTGTTACTATTAAAACTCAATTGGGAGTCTCTCTTTCTAATTTTATTGGAAGTGGTGGGTGGATATCTTGACTTATCACCAATGTAATTCAACACAAATCTGCTCCTTGGTCAGTTCATTAACTTAAGCATGTGGTATTCTTTATTAAAATTGATTTCTTCACTTGGCTTATATGACATGAATGTCTCTCCTTTTTGAATTGGTTTTAGCCGTTGGATAATGATGAATGAGATCTCTCCCTACTTGTCATCATGCAGCCTTTGTATGACACTTAAGCAACCGAGGAATATACTTGCAGCGTACTCTCTTGTCTCATGACTGAGTCAAGCCCCTTTTTTTTCTTTTACTTGTTTTTTTGTTATCTTTTCCCTTGGGTGTTTATTTTGGGACTATTACATTCTTTTTGCTATAACTCATCACTCTTGAAGTCAATGATGCAATGACTTGTTTTTTTTTTTTCTTTTGGCTATCCATTGTAATTATCTTCTTATATTAATGAATGTGCTTCACCCTCAATTACCCAAAAAAAGAACACAAAAGTAGTATAAAAGGTGATTATAATTATAAAAATTTTAAATTTATTTTGAAATATTATAAAATTTATTCATATAATTTTTATAATTTGCTTTGCTATTTTTGATATTATGATTATTGAAACAAGACTATTAAAGTTAGCAGTAACATTAGCATAATAAAGATATAGCATGTTCTAAAGAAAGTTTAGCCAGTAGGACTACATTCATTGCTCTTTATATGCCGCTTAAGATCCCTTTGGATGATTGAGTATTTATGTTTGCTTGTATTATTTATGACTTTATATTATTATTTTTTGTATTCTTCTTTAAAGTTCTTTTTTTTAAGATGTCAAATGGGGAAGTGGGAGAACTTAGACGGAAGGATTTTTTTATGGGAGAAACTTTTAGAGCTTTAATTTGTAAATCATAATGGTTATTTTCTTCTTTTATATACCTTGCAATAGTCCAATTTGAAATGTGGCTACTCTATTGGGAGTTCAGTACTTCTCTATGATACCAATAGTAGATGAGGGCTATTAGTTAGTAATGGATGGTAAGGATATAAGATCAGAGGCAGTGGCTACTTTGTGTATAAATTGTAGGGGCGTTAATACGGGTCAACAGGTCGGGTTTGGGTTGAACTCGTAACTGACTCGACACTGTTTGGGTCAACTTGAACTCGACCCATTTTTAAAAATGGGTCAGGTTTCCGGACCCAAACCCGACCCGATTCGGGTCCGGGTCAACCTGACCCAACACGAATGACCTGAAGTTGACCTAAAATTGCTAGTTCTTGGGTCAAAAATTGGGTCAATCTTCGATTTTCGGGTCAATATCAGGTAAAAAATTGGTCAATCTAGGGTTTCCGAGTCAAATAAGAGTTTTCGTGTCAATTTCGGGTTGCTGGGTCAACCCGAACCCAACCCGTTTTGGGTCCGGGTTGACCCTAACCCGGACTTTTCAGGGTCTGAATCGGGTCGTGTTTCAGGTCGAGTCAAAAATCGACACCCCTAATAAATTGCAGGAGGGTGCTTCTTTCTATGTAATGGTATCATGGAGAAGTATGAGCTAGTGTTATTTGTGAAATTTTTGAATTTTTATTCATAAAAAGTTACATAGCCACAAGATGGTTCAGACCGATTATATGATTCGTCTATGGCTGAATCGATCGGACCAACTGGTCTAATTAGATTTTAAAATTAAGATTGTCACTACCACATACATTCTCTTGGAAAATGTAAGGGCAAAAGCTATTTTGGCAAATGATAATTATTTGCTTTTAATGATGATTAAAAATAAAAAATATATTGAATTTCAATAAATTTATTAAGTATAATATTATATGTAATATTTATATTAAATTTATTAAATTAATTTGTTTAACTATTTAAAGAGGATACCAATTGAACCAATTAGTTCAAAAAAAAAATTGAGATCCGTTTCGAAGTCGGGGTCAGTGGCTCTCGCTCTTGCAGTATTTCGGGCGAAGGATTTCTAACCCGCTCAATTCGAGCGAGTTTCGAAGTCGCACGAAACGGCTCTTCAGTTGAACCGTTTGTTCTAATTAGTTCAGTCGGATTTGATATAAAATTGTTTTTTAAGATGAATTAGATCGGTCATAACTATTGAACCAGTCGAACTGACTGACTCGACCCAATTTTTAGAAACATGAATAACCCTATCAAGCCATGAGATTTAAAAAATTAGAAAAATATTTACAAAACAAAGGGAAGATAGAGAGACAAGCTGAGTGAAACCGAAAACCTAGATGGCTTTATCCACTCTCACAATCTTCATCTTACCTGCAACTCTCTTCACTCTCCTCTACCTCACCACGAGCTCCTCTGCCACCTCCATCTTCGACGTCATCTATAAGGGCTGCGCCAACCAGCAATTCTCCGGCGACGGTGCCACCGCCCAGCAAACCCTATCCTCCCTCTCGTCCACCTTGGTCTCCCAATCCTCGAACAGCAAATTCTTTAAAACCTCATCTTCCGGCCAATCACTCTTTGCCCTCTTTCAATGCCGCGGCGATCTCTCCTCCTCCGATTGCTCCTCCTGCGTTGCTAAAGCCGTTTCCATGTGGAGCTTATTCTGCGGAGATACCGTCGCCGCTCGTGTTCAGCTCGCTGGATGCTATGCGCTCTACGAAATTGCCGGATTCCCGCAGGTCTCTAGCACGCAGATGCTTTACAAGACGTGCGGATCGGGGGATGGAGGAGGGGAAGGGTTTGAGGAGAAGAGGGATACGGCGCTCTCGAGACTGCAGAGCGGGGTGACCGCCGGCGGTGGTTTCTACGCCACTAGCTACCAGTCTGTGTACGCCATGGCGCAGTGCCAGGGAGATCTCTCTTCGGCGGATTGCGGTGAGTGCGTTGAGCAAGCGGTTCAGAAATCGCAAGTCGAGTGTGGCGGCGCTAGCTCCGGCCAATTATACCTCGATAAGTGCTATATTAGCTATAGTTACTACCCTAATGGAGTTCCCAATGGCGGAAGCGGCGAAGATGGAGGGGGAGGACGAGGAGGTATGATTTGGGGACTTTCTGGTTTTTATCCTTTTTCTGTAAATGGGCTTTTTATACTCGCAATCGATTCGGACACATTCTATACCATTTACCTCTAACTTTTGAAGTTTTCTGAGAATTTATAATTTGGATTCCCATGTGGGTTATCTTTGTTCTGCTTCTGTATAAGCCAATTCGCTTTTAATGTGTGTTTTTATCTCTGTTTTAAAGTTTTCTGGGAATCTTTGTTTTGAATTGCCCTTTCGGTTTTGTTGGTTCTGTTCAATTTTAATGAATTGAAAGTTTTTCTCTCCCTTTTATGGATCTGTAGCTTTCTACTTCTGATCTAGAATAGTTAGATTCTTAATGACCCCGTGTTCTGCTGATTCATTAAAAAATGTCCTTTTCAGTAACAGATTGTGATTTTTGTTTTGGGATTTCTTCTTTAATTGCTTGCAATTCCATTTCTAATGAATTGAATTTCAACAAGCAAATTTTAGCTACACTGTCATTTTAAGTTAATTTAAGGTCCAAATTCGGGCCATCCGAATGCAAAAACACATTGGGTGGGATCCCACAGTGTGACTCTGTACGATCACCACCACCGAAACTCCATGAACTGGAACAAATTTTTGGGAATATCCGTGTCAATATCCCTTTATACTTTAATCCATCACGCACGGATATTCCCAAAAAAAAAAAATATATATTTTTTCTTTCAGCCGATTCTCGTACTTCCGCATTTGGCCTGTGACCTCCACATAGGCCCACATTGCTGAATCCTTTTCTCATATTTTTTTTGGGAAATATTTTCTCATATTTTCGTTAATAGATATCTCTGTTGTGTCCATTTCTCCGAATAAATAATTATGTATCACAAATGTGAAGGTTTTGAAACTTGTCGGTTAAATAGAATACTGTACATTTTTCACATGACTTTTTGATTTCCATCAAATCACAAAAAAGGAAACTTGCATGTTATTCTTTATACATGAAAATATGAATATTCATTTATGTTTTTTGCTTCAGGTCAGCACACAGGGAAGACGGTTGCCATAGTGGTGGGAGGAGCTGCAGCTCTGGGATTCCTGGTCAGTTGCCTCCTGTTTGCCAGAAGCATATTGAAAAAGAAAGATGGTGAGATTTCATGAAAAAACTAACTTGATCTCTGAGAAGAAAGGGATGTTCTGGATGTTTCTTTTTAAAGAAATATGCTTGAATGTTTCTTTTGGATGAATCTATTGCTAATGAGGGACAAGTCTTGTGTTTGCAGAACGGTTATTCACTCGTAAGTCATCAGAAACTTTTTCAAACATTTGTTCGAACTTGATTTGAACATTTATTTGAACCAAAGTTCAAACCTTGGTTCAAATTGAGGCATGGTCTATGGATTGGTGGGAGAGTATGAGATGCTGCATAAGAGACCTAAAAATAGAAGGATTAACAACATGTGAGAAGGAGAACATGATTATGAGGGCTTGGAAGAAGGGTTCGTGATAAAACTCATTGGGGAAGGCATCAACAAGATTAATAGCGTGCGGCTGAGCTATTTGGTGAAGGGTATCGATGAGATTGACAATGTGTGAAGTGTTGAATGTCGTCGCTAAACCTGCAAGAAGATAACAGTTGAAAACAAGAGAATTAACAGCCAAAGAACTGGATAGCAGAACAATTACTGTTCATCTTCCTTAACGATTCAAAGTTCATTACACCCGTATATAAGGAGAAGTTAGTTAGAGATTAATGGACATGATCCTTTGGCAGAGATCGGACGGTCCTCCTTGATAGTGACAGAGAATGTTAGCAATAGTGAAGCAGCCATGCAGTAAAGGGAGCCGACTTATACATAAGCTGTAGCGGGTATCAGGTTTCCTTATCAGCCTCCCTCAAGGTAACAATAGGTGCCTGGATTGTTATCTTGTGTCGTAACTGCGTATGGCGAGCAGAACTGAGAGATTTAGTGAACAAATCAGCCGGCTGATCTTGGGAGCAAATGTGATGAATTGAAAGAAGCTGTGACCAAATGTAATCTCTGATGAAATGGGCATCATTCTCTATGTGCTTCGTTCGAGCATGGAAAACAGGATTAGTGGCCAAGGCGAAAGTAGAGACATTGTCACAGTAGAGTTTAGTCGGTGCTGACTAGGTAATCTGAAACTCCGCAAGAAGATGACGTAGCCAGATTAGATCGCAGGAAGCTGTAGATAAACCGAAGCCCGAGCTACTGAGGATTGCTTTTTAACTGTCCAGGAAATAAGATTGTGGCCCAAAAAGGCACAGTAGCCCGTGATTGAATGACGATCAAGATAATCGGCAGCCCAATCAGAATCAGCAAAGCCGGTCAACTGAAGTGAGGAAGATTGAATGGGCAATTCAAGAGATAATGTGCCTTTCACATACCGAAGAACTCATTTAAGTAAGTTGTAATGATACTGGAGCGGACGATGCATATGTTGACATAAAAAGTTTACAGCATAGAGAAGATCAGGACGTGTGATCGTCATGTATTGTAGCGCTCCAGTGATTTGTCTATAGTGTTCAGGTCGTTCATAGATCGAATCAGATTCAACATTATGTAAGAATTTGGTCGGTAGAGGAGTGCCTACCGGTTTGCAGTCCACCATAGCTGCTTTATGTAGAATAGATGTAGCATATCTAGATTGTGCCAGTTGAAGACCATTGGATAAGTAGGTAATCTGTAAGCCAAGAAACTGACTTACTGGACCCAAGTTTCGCATGGAGAAGCGGGAGTGTAATGCAGAGAGCAATTTATCAATTTCAATAGGAGAGTTTCCTGTAAGCAGTATATCATCAACATACACCAAGATATACAGCTGTATTTGAGTTGTGATGAAATAGAAGCAGAGACGGGTCAGCTAAACTCGAACGAAACCCATACTGAATCAGATAGCACGAGAATGTCGAGAACCACTAACGGGGTGCTTGTTTAAGACCATAAATTGCCTTTTTCAAGAGACAAACATGATTGGGAAATTGTTTGTCAACAAAACCCGATGGTTGTTTCATATAGGCAACAGCTTGAAGAGGGCCATGCAGAAAAGCATTAGAAACATCAAGTTGTAGAATTGGCCAACAACGGTCAAGAGAATGTGACTTGTAGGGAACTTGGCTACAGGACTAAAGGTTTCAAGGTAGTCCAATTCATACTCTTGTTTAAAACCTTGCTCCACAAGACGTGCCTTGTAGCGAACTATGGTGCCATCAGCATTGAATTTGGTTTTGAATAGCCATTTTGAGCCCAAAATATTGATATTAGGATTAGATGGAACTAGTAACCAAGTGTCTTGCTGTTGAAGTGCTTCAAATTCAGAACTCATTGCTTCATGCCAAGCAGAATGCTGGCTGGCTTGCACAAATCCCGTAGGATTAGTGGGTATAACAGTGGTTTGCAGGTCTAAAATTTGTCTCGGTTTGAGATTTCTTGTTTGTGCTCTTGTAATCATGGAGTGCATGAGAGGAACGGGGCAAGTAGGTTGATCAATGGAAGGCAGAGCAGCTGATGAGGAAGTGGGAGTTGACGTAGAAGTTGTAGTATGAGATGAGGATACAGGTGATGTGGAGGTTGTTGTTGGGTTTGGTATAGATGTTGTTTGAGAATTTGACAGAATGGTTGAAATAGGTACAAGGTGGAGGGTATAACTTGGGAACTTGAGTTTGTATGAGAGGAAGGATGTTCTATAGTGGGCACGATAGTGGTAGTAGTGCGAAGAGGGAAATTAGTTTCATAAAAATGAACATGTCAAGAAATGTAGACCTTGTTTGAAATCCAGTCAAGGCATTTGTATCCTTTAGATTGAGAAGCATACCCAAGGAAAATACATGGGGTGGAGCGAGGGGCAAGTTTATGGGATAAATGAGTAGGAAATCAGGGATAACAGAGACATCCAAATATACGAAGATGAGTATAATGTGGAGACCGATTGTATAATAGTTCATATGGTAAAATGTGCATAGTGGTAGGTGAGGGTAAACGATTTATTAGGTAAACAGCAGTGAAGAGTGTATCAACCCAAAATTTGGATGGCACATTGGCATTAAAGAGTAAAACTCGAACAGTCTCTAGGAGATGACGATGTTTTTGTTCAGCAATCTCATTTTGTTGAGGTGTATATGGGCAAGACACTTGATGAGCGATGCCAGACTTAAGGAGATGAGTTTGAAAGTGATTATTGATGTATTCACCTCCTCCATCAGTTCGGAGAGTTTTAATGGGTGTGTGAAATTGTTTTTCTACAAGTTGTTGAAATTTTAGAAACGTAGAAAATACTTCAGATTTGTGATGAAGAGGATAGACCCAAGTATAGCGGCTATAGTCATCGATAAAAGTAACATAGAAACGATAAGATTGCATTGATAGAGTAGGGAAAGGCCCCCATACATCACTGTGAACAAGTTCTAAGCATTGCTTTGACATAGAGCTAGATAACGAAAAGGAAAGTCTAGTACATTTAGCTTGAGCACAAGCATTACATTGAATAGATTCAAACCTAATACTAATACTAAATGGCAACACATTAGATAGATGCTGTTGGGTGGAGATGGAAGGATGACCAAGCCGTTGATGCCATAACGACTTGGATGTAGGAATAGCAACGAACGCAGTAGTAGATGTAGGCTGTCCTGGAAAAGTTGGAGTGTGGAAAAGCTTAATTGGGTAGAGTCCAAGATGATTGGGTCATCGGAGAAGTAGCTTGTTGGTCCGAGAATCCTTGATGGCAAATCCATGAGCATCAAGTTGCACAAAACAGGAATTATCATTAGTAAGCTTCTGTATAGAAAGCAAATTGTGAGACAGATTTGGTACATGTAATATTTTGGTTAAATGCAGCTTACGGTGTGGTGTGGGAAGCAGACCTTGGCCGGCTATTAGCAATGGACAGTTGCTGCCCATTACCTACGTGGACTTGAGATGATCCTTGGTATGGTTGTATGTTTTGTAGGTGAGCTGGGTTGGTGGTTAGGTGTTCTGTAGCTCCTGAATCCATAAACCAATCAGCGGATTGAGGCGTATCAGTTGTGACATACGTCTGTGGAGCTGTATTGTAGGCAGAGTCATGTCTGTGCTAGCACGCTATAGCTGAATGACCTGATTTCCCACAGATCTGGCAGTCTACATTGAGGCGAGGTCGACGACCACCGTGAGAAGATGGTGATCTTCCTGCTGACGATCGGGCAGAGCCATGACCAGATGAACGACCACGATAATTAGATGCTCTTCCTCGATAGGATCCACGAGTTGCAGTTAAGGCATAGTTGGAATTTGTAGCGGGAGTTGTAGTGACCTCGCGTCTAGAATCTGATAAAATGTGAAGTTCTTCACTACAAAGCAGAGCATAGAAATCATTAAGAAAAATTGGCTGCAGCTGATTGCGAATAACAGCTTTAAAAGACTGGTATGAGGCAGGGAGCCCATTCAAGGTGTATAGTATGATATCTTCAGTATCAATGGATGAGCCAGAAGCAGCTATGGTATCGACCTTTGCCTTGATGTCAGTTAGGTACTGAAACATCGTTTTATCTCCGAGTTGCAATTGATGCAACTCGTTTTTGAGTTGAAGTAACCTGGATCGATGAGTCGATTGTAGACGAAGTTCTAATGTCGTCCAGATTTGGTGCGTGGATTCCAGGTTAAGAATGTAAAGTAGTAAGGACGCGGATACAATGGAGTAAATGGCTGATGCCAAATGTTGGTCGATGAGCATCCATGTTGGAAACAGAGGATTTACAGTCACGGAGCCATCAGACGAGAGAATCTGTTTTGAAGGTTTTGCAGTGGCGCCAGTAATATAACCTTCATAGTTGTTAGCTGTAAATAACTTCAATAGCTGCGACTTCCATATTAAATGATTATCAGTAGTAAGCTGTACTGTAACCATGGTTTTCACGTTGGCCATGAAAAATTTTAGTTGAGGAGGTATACTGACTTCAGGAGCAACAGATGCACCATTCGATGCAGCAATAGCAGGAGAAGCAAACCTACAGCTCTGATACCATGTTGAATGTCGTCGCTAAACCTGCAAGAAGATAACAGTTGAAAACAAGAGAATTAACAGCCAGAGAACTGGATAGCAGCACAATTACTGTTCATCTTCCTTAACGATTCAAAGTTCATTACACCCGTATATAAGGAGAAGTTAGTTAGAGATTAATGGACATGATCCTTTGGCAGAGATCAGACGGTCCACCTTGATAGTGACATAGAATGTCAGCAATAGTGGAGCAGCCATATGGTAAAGGGAGCCGACTTATACATAAGCTGTAGCGGGTATCAGGTTTCCTTATCATGAAGGAGAAGGGGGTTCATGATGGAGCTCAATGGGGAAGGAATTGACGAGGCTCGCGAAATGTGAATGGAAAGGGGATTTGCAACTGAATTCATTGGGAAATACGTCAATGAAGTCAATTACTTGTGAAGGATAAGAGGAAATTGCGATAGAGTTCATTGGGGAAGCTATCAATAGGACCAGTTTAGCGTGTGGGGGTAGATATCAATTGGACTGACAGACATATTTAGGGGTAGGCATTGATGGACCATCATAACAGTTCAAAACTTTGTTTGAAATAGGTTTAAATCATGCTCAAATGTTTTTTTAATCAAGTTTGAACTAGTTTGAAAATATCTTTGCATTTTGATTTCCTTCCAACCAGACAAACAAATTCAAATCCGGTATATTTTAGGCTTACCATGAACAAATACTTAGGAGTCAATTATTTTACTATATAAAGCCCAACATTGGTCCCTATTGTTCCATACACCCTAACAAGTAACATTGATGTTGATGTTTATATTGAATCAAACGGCTTGTGCCTCCCATGAATCGTCACAATTTTGAGTCACTGTTATATGATGCCAAATTTTGATCACCTATGATCTGGAATCTTCTAACTGACACAGAAGTTTATATTTTTATTTGTTTTCTATGGCTTTTTCCAGATTTCTGAAGTCCTTGCTGCTGAAAGCATGAATTTCATGCGGGAGACAGGAAGCTTTCGGCGATTTTCATCAGCCATGCGGAGTTATCTATCATCAAGAGAACTGAGAGGATATAAGGAAAAGCATTTGGTTCTCCCAATTTGGACAAACTGTAAGCGATGCACTCTGCTTATTATGATTAATTATATTGTGCCGACATCGAATGCCGTCCGGAGATCAATCAGAATGTGCCATGTCATCCTTTCGCTCAGTACCGTTGATGTGGCGCATTCTGATTGGTCACCGAATGATATTCTGCATTCAGTCTCTGCACAGACTAATTTCTTGCTTATTATATCTCTCTTTTTACAGAGACGAAAAGGCGTAGTGAGAGATTGATGGGATTTTAACTGTGAAAATGTTCTCATGTATATATTATTGGCAAAGAAGGTTCGATGTTAATATTTTGGAAGCAATTGAAATAATGGATGTATAGCTACGACGATTCATCGCGTTTCTTTAAAATAAAATTGTGGAAGGAAAATTTGTGAGAGATTTCTTGTAAATTGAAATTGACATGGAAGCAGCACTTTGACATCTTTCTGCTTCGAAATTTTTATATTTTTATGAGATTTTTTTTTATTTTATCAAAGGTCGATGTTTGTTGTTAAATATAATATGCTTATACTTTTTTTTAAAGCTTTTTAAAAAAATTTCAAATAATAATTTGTTAAGGAATGATAAAAAAAATTATCTTCTAAATATATTATTTTTTTACTAATTATTTTCTTATCGTAAAGCAATTGAATGGCTTTTCGAAAGTCTTAGTTGCCAACATGTGGGTACTAAGATCATCTCCAACCGAATTATATTCGACTATTTGCAATTCTGTTGAGTCTCCATCCAATTGTTGGAAACTCGTTCAATATGAATTAGGATGTTAAGCCTAATTAAATGTCACAAGGCTAACCAAGAGGGGGGGGTGAATTGGTAATTTAAAAAATTATACTTCTACTCTTTGGATTTTTAGAAAAACTTTTTTTAATTATTAATGCAGTTAATTTTAAGTTTAAAATAAATAAAGCTTTCGAATAAGAGTAAACAACTTGCAATGAAATTTAAATGCGTAAGGAAAAATAAGAAAATGGAACAGCATCATATATTTATAGTGTTTTGTCAAACTTGACTACGGTCCACTCCCGGAGGCACCGCTTCGAGTATTGTAGCTAATACCAGACAAATAAGTGAACTCTCCTTTTGCCCCCACTAGCAAGGCGGAGAAGCCTGTACAGAAATCATCTTTCACCTTCCCGAGGTGCGGCGGAGTAGCCACGATTCTTTTGACACCAAAGATATATTTCTTCCGCCAAAACTCCCTTCAAGACGACCCTTTGAATCGCGATGTACTAGAAGTGCATTAATTGTTCGCCGGAGCAACCGTGTGAATATTCCCTCCACACTCCCTTGAAATCCTCCTCAAGGATCTTCTCCCCTCTCAAATCCACTCTTTCACTCTCTCCCTATTCAAGTTCATCTTTCTAGTTTGCTCCCCAAGAACGAAGCACAATGGCTGTCAAAGAATACACTTTTGTCGTCCTTTTTACACTCTCCAAGTGTTGGTAGTGAGAACCGGACGCAATGTTGTTGAACTTACACTTGAGAGCCTTCAAAGGAGATGAGAAGAAACAAAAAGAGTTCTTCTTCGTTCAAAGTAACCTTGTGAATCCCTCACAACCCCTCACCGCTTGATCTTCTCACTAGCTTCACTCTTACAATCTCTCCCAAACTCTCACTCTCATTGATCCCGTCTCGAAGAGAAAACAACTCCAAAGCACTTGGTAATAAGTTTCTAGGACTTCTTAATAAGAAAAAGACATTGAAAAACCGTTCCAAAAAACTGGCTTAAAAATATGTTTTTCGTGCGCCACTAGATCGATCCTCGGTACGCGAACACTGCGAGTTTAGTACGGACGAACTGTGTAAAAAAACTTATCCCGTACGAACCATTTTGCATCTGTACAAACCAATTTCGTCTTGGACGAAATAGGTTCATCCCCGTACGAATATAAATTGTCGGCCGTGTACGAACAGTTATTCAGAAAGTTGTTTCTGAAAAGCTGTGCGAGAACGTTGCCAGAAACTGCATAGTCTTTCCCATCGTCCTGGACGAACTGGGACTGCGCTGGACGGAATTTTACAGTGAGAAACTCGTCCGGGACGAAAATATGAGCTGTTGGCTATCGATCATTTCTCTTAGAAAAATTTTCTCAGTTCATTCATGTTATGTTCCATTCACTTTTACAGGAGATAACTGTATCTGATCTGTCCCTGTACGAACAATGTTCGCCCGGGAATCAGTACAAAACTTTTAAATCTCTTCTTTAAGGTGTGTGTAAAATTTATTCACTCAATACAATCCACGCCCTCTCAAATTTAATTCAAATAAAAAGTACAAGCTTCAAATTGCAACAAAGTATCTCATGCTGAATCTTGATTGAAGTCTTCGTAGTTCTGGGTTCGATTTTCCTAGTAATAATATTAGTACACACTAAGAGCAAAAAACAAATCTTTCCAAAAAGATGTTAGGGAGATAATAACACTAAAATAAAATATTTGGAATCGATCAAAACTATACAAAGTTGCAATAATGTAAAACATGCAATAGCAACTTTCCTAACAAATCTCCCCCTTTTTGATGATGCAAAACAAATTAGTGTTTGATAATTTGAAATTCTAAGAATCTCCTAAACTCCCCCGTGAATTATATGAACATATGGAAAATAAGGATGGCATTAAAATATATTTGATGTTTTCAAATTTTGAGAAATACAAAACAAAAACACACAATACTAAAACAAAACAAACATACAACGCACGATATACACAACACAACAACAATTCTCCCCCTTGTTGAAAACCATCAAAAAAGTGAAGAAGAAAAGACTAGAAATGTAAGCAAGACATATGAAGAACTCATTTAAAAATTTAAGCCTTTAAAGTGATTGACATAAGGGATGCCAAATAAAATCAAATCATTAGGTAAATAAAAATGATTCATAGAATTTAAGAAGAGATATAACATAGAAACTAAAAAGAATTAATCAACACATGAGTATATTTAGACATTTAAGATAGAGAAAATCATTGTAAAAATGATGATATAAAAATTTTATATTTCATATTTCAATATGTAATATAAATGTACATAAGATCAATTTGAATTAAGAGATTAAAAAATTAAGGAAAGAAATAACTACCACATGTGGCGCTTTGCGCATCTTTTTCAATTTTGTGGACATTTTTGTGCATCTTTTTACTTGTTGGGCTTATTTTGTGCATGTTTTTCACATTGTGAATCATTGTGCATTTCTTTTGATTTTTTGTACATTTGTACAATTTTCAAGAGTAATTGTATTCTTTTCAAAATCAATAATCTAAAATTTCAAATCTTTCTAAGTGCATAAATATTAATTGATAAATGAAATACAAAATAAAAAAATATTACAATTTCAATAATAATATTAAAATTAATGTAGTCTAAATAAGAGACATGAAATTGACAATCTTAATAATATCAAGTTATAAACACAACTTAAATTTAGAAAAATTAGATTTTCTAATGAATTCAATTTTATGTTGCAGTTCAAAGTATAGCACTTGTAAGATAAAAAATTTAAGGGTTTTTCATATAGGCTAACGAACATTTCAAACACAGAAAAAACACTTAAACATAAAAAAAATCTAAAGCAATAAAAGAATAGAAAAACACTAAATAAAATACAAGTACATAAACTATAAAAAACTTCATATCACATTCCAAATGTCTCACAACAAGAAACATGGAATCCGATATGAAAATATCTCAAAATCATACAAAACACATAAAAATTAAAAATAGAAAAACACATAAAACAAACAAAAATATTTGGAATCATCAAAACTATACAAGTTGCAATAATGTAAAACATGCAAATAGCAACTTTCCTAAACCATAGTATATGCATGTGCAGTTTTGTGGTTGTGAACAGTGTGATGCCAATATTGATGTCAAACTATTTAGAAACTTTTTTTGTTTTTTTATTTATAAAATTATCATAAAATTATTAAATTTTAATACTTTGATTCCAAATATATTAGCTTAACATATGTTATTATTTTTTAATTTTAGCATATTTAATTTTTTATGTAATTAATTTATTTTAATTAGGTTCTTTTTTGTGTTAGAAATGGAGTTCGATTGAAAATAAATTACTATTTGAAATGAATGATATTGCATTTTTAAGTGGAAATTTGTCTTTCGGTTGGAGATGTCTTAAGGAAGGGGGTCAACAAGCTTTTTATTATTTAATAATTTTAAATTTTAATTTAAATTATTAAATTTTATTTTATTATATTATTTAATAAGTTTTTCAATTTGTTTTCCTAGAAATAACTCTTTGATGCTTTTTATTTTTTGTTGTCTATTCACAAATTTCTTGAAATAATTTAAAGTAATACTTATTAATTTTCATATTATAAGAATTTTTTTTTGGAGAAAGGCAAATTCTCCAACTGAAAATTCATTTTTAATAAATTTATGTAAAAAAAATTTATTTGTAATTACTCTAATAATATTAAAGTTATACTCTTATAGTTTATACAAAAGAGGCACACTAATCATATTATCAAAATAATTTATATTATTCTTTTTCTGCAAAAAATATATAACCGTTATAATTTATACCCCTACTCATAATATTGAGCTATTATCTTCATCTATGTTATTATAGGATTGCGTGTAAACCTGGGGCTTAGCAATCAAGCCATCTTCTTAGTCTTTATTTAGGACAACTTTCTTTTTTGCTTTCTAAAATTATTTTATAGTATAAAAATTTCTAAAAAGCAGTCAGATAGTCGTCCCAAATAAAGCTTTAATTGTTTATGAAAACCACGATCAATATTTTCTTCTTAATATTGTTCTTCTTCTTTCTAATTTTAATATTCTTCTCCACACTATTGCTAGGAGGATTCACTTTCAGAATATTAATGAGACATAAAGATCTCCATTATGTATAACTCTACATATAAATTAGTGATAGGAGAAAGATCAGGTCTAGAAAACCTAGACAACATTATTTAATACATTAAAAACTATTATACTATTGAATATTTAGACAAAAAATAATTGTTTAGTTTGGTGGTTGCATTTGACTGTCTCTGAGATAGTCAAATCCCTTTAGATTGAACTTCACATTATTTATCGAAGCTTCACTCAACCTTTGCTCACTACATATGTAATTATGAGATATTTTTAGTTGAATCAAAGATATTTATTTTGTAATTATCAATTTATTTTTACCTATATTTAATAGTAGTTTTTTTTAGATGCCATTAGGGTATGGTACATGTAAGATCAGCTGACCTATATGTAATCACTCTCAATATCAAATCTATAGTAGATGTTGACATTCTGCTGTTTGATTGAAAAAGTGATTGGAGTTTTGAAAAAGATTAATTTTATTTGGGAATAATTGATTTTTAAAATTTAAGTTTTAAAATCGAACACGCCATTATAAATGATATATTGTCTCGAAAGGCGAACATATCATTCCCTAATGGGTTAAATTATAAAACTTTGAATTTATCCTGATTATCATAGTCAA